AAAAAAAAAAAAAAAAAAAAAAAAAAAAAAAAATATCCAATTGAACAAAGAAAACGCAAAAGATAAATTTGATGTGTGATATGGTTTATTATGTTAACATTAAAAATAAATGATGATTAGACATATCAAAGTAGAAAATTATACAGGACAACACGAACAAGAAACGAGTGCGAGTGTTCAATTATTTTGTAAGGAAATTAAAATAGAACAAATAAACAAAAAGAGAAAAAGAGAAGGAAAAAAAATTGAAAATCAGGGGATGGCAATTCCTGACTTGATCTTCTGAATGGTAGCAATATCAGTCTTGAATGCTTTGGCAAGTATTGCATCATCAATTCCTGTGCCAAACACTGAATTGGGCACTGATACCGTGCCAGCATTTGCGCTTCCAAACGCAGAAATGGCGATAGCCGGATTCTGATGGTTTCGGTTATACTGATAATGAGCAAGCCCCTTAGGAAAAACAAACATGTCACCAGCCTCGAGTTGCTTAGTGTAAAGAATATTTTTCGTATCAACAAAAGCCACTTCTAAGGTTCCAGACACTGAGAAAAGAAGCTCAGTAGCACGAGGGTGGGTATGCGGGGGGTTGATGCCTCCAGGAGGGAATTTTAGAATAGCCATTGACACACTTTGTCCATCTAAAGCTGGAAATTCGACCAAACCAGCCTTTGTCACCATTAGGGTTCCTTGGATTGGATCAGGTAGGTCTCGGAATCCTGTGAAAGTGAAGAAAGTTCCATTGACAGACGAGAAATTGGCCGGTGTAATGAAGTCAGACGTTATGTCTGGGTCACTGACTACTGCATCGATGAAGGCAAAAACTAACAGCAAAGGCAGAAAGGATTGAATAAAATTCAAGGCCATTTTTGATAAATGCTGAAGGGATAGTTTCTTATCATCTTATATATGTATTTATAGGGGATTTTTTTCTGCTTAACTTTGTCCAATTGAAAGGGCCAAATGGTTTTCTATTCCTGGCTGGTGGTGGAATTCACTATGTTGGATATTTCTTTCATTCCTGGATAAACTGATGGAGACATCCTAATTATAGAACATACAGCTAATATTCCTCATTATATCCTAACATAAGAACAAATAAGAGAATGTGAGTACGGACATAGTACAAGAGGGAGGGTTATATCAAGACTATGTTATAAATAAGCTCTCATTCGTAACATGACGTTATCCTAGAATGCACATTTAATGATGGAAGTTTAGAATAAAACTAATATGTAGAACTAGGTAAAACTCTCGAATTGAACCCGAACCGGTTCCGAACCGAACTAAGCAATTCTTCTTAAGTTAAATACCCGAACGGATATTTGAATCGAGAACCAATGAATTCAGTTCAGTTCTCGATTCTAAATCAAGAATCGAATCTTCCTAATTTTTTTAATTTATTTATTTTATATAAGTCAAATTATTTTTTCTATATAAATTTACTAACTAGTTAATTTAGCTCAAACCCAAAAATATGATTTTTCTATTTCTAATTTTCATTCTAAACCCAATTCAATCAAATTGACCTAAATTTCACCCAAATATGTAATTATATCGTAGTGTCATTTCTACTGTTTTGAAGAAATAATATTGAAACTCGACAGCATCTCTCTTAATTATTGTGAACTCGCTATCTTTTTTTTCTTGTGATTTTAATAACTAAATCTATGAAGAACTAAGAAAGAAATATGTAAAAGACACGTAAAACTGAACTACATTATTTTGTAAGAGTTAAGACTGAATATGTCATTAGTTGAATTGATGTAGTTTTGTAAATATTAAAAAAATTAATTATAGTATGGAACTCGAGAATCAAACTGAACCAAATTGAATGGAACAAAACCTGAACAGTTCTATACTTAAATTTGGACCCGACAATTCCACTTACTAAATATCTGAAAATTTTAGGTCCGATTCGATTCTGACAAGAGCCGAACTGAACCAGACCTCACTTGAAGTAGTTGTGAAACAATACCTCCGTGCCCTCTTGGGGGCGCAAGGTGTTACTGCTACTCCAATGAATAAATGGTGCCTGAAAAATGAGGGCGAGGGTTTCTCCCTCGTTTTACCTTCGATGTAAAAATTAATATACGGTGTTACGAAAAACAAGAACGAAATTCAAATAGCCAAAAATTTTCTCCGTCCATACCTATTTCGCCTAAAGTGTATTTATAGGGGAGTGGAGCAATGTGACTACTGTGCGGTTATGGTGCCATGTATCCCACGTAACCTCTTCCACTACCTCCACGTTCTGAGTAGGGGATCTTCAAGTACTTGCTGTTGAACGTACACATGACAACCGGTATGTAAATCTCATCAATTCACTGATGATTTTATGGCTAAGTATTGGTTCGACTGCGTAGTGGTAAATGGTCGGCCCGGTATAGATGTAGTGTGCTCGTGGGGGTCGACTACCCGACATAGACGTAGAGTGCTCATAGAGTCAACAGTTCAGGTAGAGTGCTCATGGAGATCGACTACTTGGCATAGATGTAGAGTGCTCATGGGGGTAGATGACCTAGCATGAGGGTTGAGTGCTCATAGACGTAGAACGCTCATAGGGGTCGATAGCCCGACATAGACGTAGAGTGCTCATGGGATCGACGGTCCATCATAGACTTATAATGCTCATGGAGATCGACGACCTAGTGTAGACATAGAGAACTCATGGGGGTCGACGACCCAACATAGAGGTAAAGTGCTCATAGGCGTAGAACAGTCATGGGGGTCGACGATCTAGCATAAACGTAGAGTGTCTATTGAGTAGCCTTCACCTTGTTAGTCATCGTGGACAATTATTAATATCATCCAATATCAATACTTAACCCTACTAATATGTCATGTAATGTAGTTGTTTTAGATCTTTCAAAACGTGAACAACAAATTGAACATATATCAAAAATAATTCACGTAGATGATCACAAATTCAATGGAAATAAGGCTTAGCCTCTTTTCAGCCCTCATTTTCTAAAACTCATTTTCTACCCAATCATGCTACATGAATATCAACGTTGACATAAAATGTGATATAATATCACGTGATACTATATTATTAGACAATTTAAAATACAATCAATTTTTTCATTTAATCATCTACTGTCACATGTAATTATGTCAAGTTTTATGTCAAGTCTTTAATGCAAAGTAGCTTTATCACTTTCAACCACATGTTTTATAAATTTCGCAACTTTTATCAACTTTTCAAATTTCAATAACACGTCTTATTAACTTTTATCAAACTCCACTAAAAATTTAATTTTTACCCAAACCAAACAGGGTCATAGTTTTTCTCCTCCTATGAGATATAACTTGACTAGAAGTGTGTCTGTAAGGTTGGCGCATTTTTGGACAGCTTCAATTTGCTTAACAAGAACCAATATGCTGGCGCCAGACAACATTGTACTACTTTGATGTTGTAATTTCTCAAACAGCCTCCCAAATATCGAGAAGTAAGCATATGCCCTAACAGGGTCATAGTTTATCTCCTCCTATGAGATATGACTTGACTAGAAGTGTGTCTGTAAGGTTGGCACATTTTTGGACAGCTTCAATTTGCTTAACAAGAACCAATATGCTGGTGCCAGACAACATTGTACTACTTTGATGTTGTAATTTCTCAAACAGCCTCCCAAATATCGAGAAGTAAGCATATGCCCTAATGCCAAATAATTTGGGAGCCTCATCTCCAATGGGAATAGCCGGTTAACTATTTTGCAACCAACAATGACACGAACCCTCGTGTTTGACAAAAGGTTTTGAATTTTCTGGTGTATCCATGAATAATCTTGTGACGGGTCTCACGCGCTAGACTTACTACAGAAATCGAAGGTCGGAAATGGTGAAAATATATTATTAATTCGCCCAATTAAGAGTTCTCTTCTATAATGGAGTTAAAATATCCCCATTACCACTGAATTTATTTTCAAATGTTTCTCAATTGTTATTGAACTCTAAAAGATCCTTGAATTATCATTGAACTTTCTTAAATGTTTTTTAATTGTCATTGAACTTTAAGGGTTCATTTGGATGTAAATGTGGAATTTGGATGGAAATAAAATGAATTCCAAGAAATTGAATTACCTAGAAATTATTTTCCTGAGAATTGTAAATTATTGTGTTTGATTGGTATAATTTTCCACGTAAAAAATGTTGAAATAAAAGTATTTTTTTGTGTTCTTTGCATGAAAATTGTTAGTGAAAGGATTAGAATTTACTAATATTGGAAATGAAATTTGTTTCCATTACCAAAAAAAATAAAAATCAAGAAAATCATCTATCTTTTGATATTCATTTGACTTTGTTTTATATGAAAATTGTTTACTAAAATGAAAGAATTTGTTACAATTGTTAATAAAATTTATTTCCATTGTCCAAAAAAAATAAAAAAGTCAACCGGGAAAATGAAAAACCACCTAACACATGAGAAACTGAATTCCTCCATTTCGTGGAAAAGGTGCACGTGTGATTGAAAGTTGGAAATTCAATTACCTAGAAAATTGATGCCATCAAACATGTAAAAAGTTGGAAAAGGGAAAATCTTTTCCATTTTCCATGGAAAAGTTGCCATATCAAACATGGCCTAAAAGTTCTTTGAATTGCCGCTGATCTTAACAAAATATTATCTCATCCATTTATCCATCAGTCACCATTTTAGAAGTTAATGGACTTTAGGAACTTATCAAAATGTTATCTTATCCACAATCCCATCTATAATGTCATTTAGTCTGTTAACTTTTAAAATTGCGAAGTGACGAAACATTTTGATAAGTTCAATGACAACTCAAATAACTTTTAAAGTTCAATAAGACTTAAAAAATAAAAAATAAAAAGTTCAGTGGCAACTCAGAGACATTTTAAAGTTCAATGGTAATTTAAAAACATTCGAAAAAGTTCATAAGCAATTGAGATATTTTAGTCCCTATTTGACGTCCTTTTTTATTTCAAAACTACACACTCTTTTTTTTTTACCACACATTCACACAATAAAATATTCTACACATAAATTCAAAACTTTTTCTATTTTTTAACCACACATTCTCTAAAAATTCCCTATTCAAAACATTGAAAATCCTACATAATGGGCATCAAACAAGGCTTAACCTTCAATAATGATTCTAGATACAATCTTACAAGAAGAGCCTGTGAAATCAATTCCAGTGGTGGCGGTAGTGTCGAAGCAACAAATAGAAAATATTTCTCTGTGTGTTTCTCAAGATCATTGGGTGCATGCTATAGTTTTCATCACTACGTGAGCTGGTGAGGAAACACGCAATTTTGGATTCTAATGCCTGTCTTTTAACAAATAACTTTATCGAAAATTTCACATTTCTACACAGTTTTTCACGATTATGTTATCTTCTTAATGCTCTATAAATTCCCCTCTAGCCCTAGCAAAGAAGCACATAATTGATAATTCTCTTATTCAAAATGGCCCTTCTGCCTTCCATTTTATTTTTCCTAGCGGTTACACTTGTTACCCTTCAAGTAGCACTGGCTGGGGACGCAGACATATTATCAGACTTCATACCACCGTCAAACACCACCGTGCCACCGGACGGCAGTTTCTTCACCTACACCGGGTTGCGTGCCGCCACCGTCCCGAACATGCCGCCAGATTTTAAAGTTTTCAAAGCTAGTATGGCCGAATTCCCTGCTTTGAATGGGCAGAGTGTTTCATTTGCAGTTCTAATGTACCCACCTGGCACTGTCAACCCACCCCACAACCATCCCCGGGCTTCCGAGCTTCTTTTCCTTCTCGTAGGCTCTCTCGAAGTGGGATTCGTCACCACGACTAACGATCTCTTTAACCAAACACTTCAAGAAGGTGACATTTTTGTCTTCCCTAAAGGGCTCGTGCATTTTCA